ACACATGTACACCAAAATTTAAAATAAAATACCACTGGTTGGTCACAGTGGCTCATGCCTGTAGTCCCAGCACTTTGCAAGGCCAAGGCGGACAGATCACTAGGTCAGGAGATCAAGACCATCTGGCCAACGTGGTGAAACCCTGTGTCTACTGAAAATACAAAAATTAGCTGGGCATGGTGGCACGCGCCTGAAGTCCCAGCTACTCGGGAGGCTGAGGTGGGAGAATTGCTTGAACTCAGGAGGCGAAGGCTGCAATAAGCTGAGATCACACCACAGCATTCCAGCCTGGGCAACAGAGTGAGACTCCGTCTCAAAAAAACAAACAAACAAACAAAAAAAGTTTATAATAGTTTAGAAAAAAATAAAATATGTAGGTGTAAACCCAGTAACTCATGTATAGGACACTCGCAAATTGAAAGTTACGTAATAGTGCTGAAAGAAATCAAAGATCTATATAAATAGAAAGATGTACCATGTTGCCGGATTGGATAACTCAGTGTAGTAAAGACATCAGTTTCCTCTAAATATATGTATAGGTTTAATCTGATTTCTATCCAAATCTCAGGATGATTTTTTATCGTATAGAGAAGATAATTCTAAAATTTATATAAAAAGGCAAAAAAACGATGATCGTTCAAACATTTTGAAAAAGTAGAATGAAATGGAAATAATCAGTGTTCCTGTTTTCAAGAATTATTATGTAGCGACACTAATCAAGACTGTGTGGCACTGATGGAAGGACAGACACATAGATCGTGAAAAGGAAATAGACCCACACAAATATGCCCAACCAGTTTTCAACAAAGTGCAAAAGCAATTCAATGGAGGAAATACAGCCTTTTTAACAGATGGTGCTGGAGTAATTAGATCATCCAAATGCAAAAACATAAACCTTGACCTAACTGTCACAGCTTAATAAAAAGGTAATTCAAAATGGATCACTGCCTTAAATGTAAACCCTGAAACTAAAAAATTTTGAAAACAAAAACATATAAAATATTTGGGATCTTGGACTAGGCAAAAGTTCATAGACTTGACACAAAAACATGATCAATACAAGGGAAAACTAATAAATTAGAATTCATCATAATTAAAAACTTTCCGGTAGGCGTGGTGGCTCACACCTGTAATCCCAGCACTTTCAGAATCCAAGGTGGGTGGATCACAAGGTCAGGAGTTCGAGACCAGCCTGACCAACATCGTGAAACCCTGTCTCTATTAAAAATACAAAAATTAGCTCAGCGTGGTGGTGCATGCCTGTAATCCCAACTATTTAGGAGGCTGAGGCAGGAGAATTGCTTGAACCCAGGAGGCAGAGGATGCAGTGAGCCGAGGTCGCACCACTGCACTCCAGCCTGGGTGGCAGAGCGAGACTCCATCTCAAAAAAAAAAAAAAAAAAAGACAAACAAAAAGCTTTCTGTGCAAAAGATCCTGTTAAAAGATCCTGTTAAAAAGTTGATAAGACAGGCAATTGGAGAAAATATTTGCAAACCACGCAGTCCTAATATTAGCATTAATATCTATACTATGTTAAGAAATCTTAAAACCCTACATTAAAAAAAAAAAATCCAATTAGAAAGCAGGCAAAAGACATGAAGAGGCATTTCATTGAAGAGGATACACACATGGCTAATAGGCAAATGAAATGATGTTCAACATCATTAGCCACCAAAGAAATGCAAATTAAAACCATAATGAGATATCACTATATACCTGTCAGAATGGCTAAAATTTAAAAATCACGATAGCAGCAATTGCTGGAGAGGATGAAGAGAAACTAGATTATTCATACTTTGCTGTTGGGAATGTGAAATGGCAGAGTTCAGAAAACATTTTGGCAGTTTCTTAAAAAACTAGACATGCAACTACTATATGACTCAGAAATTACACTGTCAGGCATTTTTTCCAGAGTAATGAAAACTTGTGTTCACACAAAGACCTATGCATTAATGTTTATAGCAATTTTATTCATAATGGCCCCAAGCTGGAAGCAATCTATCAGATGCCCTTCAACTGTACATGTTTAAACAAACTGTAGGACATTCATACCAGGAAATACTGCTCAGCAACAAAAAAGAACAAACTATTGATACATGCAACAACCTAGATGAATCTCAGAGAATTATGCTAAGTGATTAGAGTCAATCTCAAAATTACATATGGTATGATTCCATTTGCATAACATTCTTAAAATGACAAAATTATAGAATAAGGAGCAGGTTAGTAGCTGCCAGGGGTTAAAGAGGGGATGTAGCTGAGAGGAAAGAGGATGTGGTTGTAAAACAGCAACAGAAAAGATCTCCACGGAAAGGCAGGACTGGTGGTTCACGCCTGTGGTCCTAGCTACTGAGGAGGCTGAGGTGAGAGGATCACTTGGGCTGCAGTGAGTCATCATTGTGCCTCTGCACGCCAGCCTGGGCAACAGAGGGAGACCCTGTCTCAGAAAAACCTTAATTTAAAAATTCTCTGTAATATATAAATAATTCACAATAAAGTGTATTATTTAACTCTTATAGTGTACACCAAGGACTACTACGCAGCCACAAAAAGGAATGAGAGCATGTCCTTTGCAGGCACATGGATGGAGTTGAAATCATTATCCTTGGCATACTAACACAGGAACAGTAAACCAAACACCATGTGTTCTCACTTGCAAGTGGGAGTTGAATGATAAGAACACATGGAGGGGAACAACACATACTGGGGTCTCTCAGAGGGGAGTGTGGTGGGGGGAGCATCAGGAAAAATAGCTAATGGATGTTGGGCTTAATACCTAGGTGATAGGATGATCTGTGCAGCAAACCACCATGGCACATGTTTACCTATGTAACAAACCTGCACATTCTGCACATGTACTCCTGAACTTAAAATAAAAGTTGAAGAAAAAAAAATATTATAGTGATACCTGCTTTGTGCCAGGTCATACTCCTGGGCTCAGTCCTTAACATTTTAATACTCCTCACCATCGGTTGGGGATGCAGCCTGGACTATCACTGTTACAATGAGAAGGAGCAAAATCTGAGCAATTCTGGGAAACCAAATCACCCAGGATTTGGGGAGTGATGGAAGTGGGGGGAGTGGAAAACAGAAGTGCTGACTCTCTAGGTTCAAGTTAGCGTGTCTAGAATAATAGAGATCCATCCAACAGTCTTCACGTAGTTGAGAGGTCTTTCTTAGGAAGGAGAATAAGAAGAAATTAGGTCCCCATGAGCTCATTTTTTCTTAGTTTTTTCCTCCTTTGACAACTTTCTGAAATAATGCATCCAGGGTGCCCTGAACACAATGATAAGAGTTTCCTTAAACCCATTAGCCAATTCTCTAAGCAACTTAGGATGTATGGTATAGAGGTGCTATTTTAAAGATATTTCAATGTTTCTAATATATTTGCTTATTAAAATATCAATAACTTATTTCACACAATTTCCCTTGCTTATTTTCCTGATATTTTTAAAGCCAAGGGCAGATTTTAACTACAACATTGTACTTCTGAGGTTTCCAATCATAGCATCATGCTGTTCACCTATTTCTTTCTGGGGGGCTGTTATCTCTTCTCATATAGATTAATTAGGAAGTACTCTTCCTTTAGGAATCTTGGCCATTATTAACAATCTCCCTCTTTCCTTTAATTTTTTAAATTAACTAATTAGTTTTTTTTTTTTTTTTTTTTTTGAAGCAGAGTCTCTCTCTGTCACCCAGCCTGGAGTGCAGTGGCATGATCTTGGTTCATTGCAACCTCCACCTCCTGAGTTCAAACGATTCTCTTGCCTCAGCCTCTTGAGTAGCTGGGATTATAGGTGTGTGCCATCACACCCGGCTAATTTTTGTATTTTTAGTATAGACAGGGTTTTGTCATGTTGGCCAGGCTGTTCTCAAACTCCTGACCTCAGGTGACCCACCAACCTTGGCCTCCCAAAGTCTTAGGATTAGAGGCGTGAGCCACCATGCCTGGCCTATTTTTTATTTTGAAATGCTCTCACTCTGTTCCCCAGGCTGGAGTGCAGTGGTGTGATCATGGCTCACTGCACCTTGACCTCCTGGACTCAAGCAATCCTCCCACCTTGACCTCCTAAGTAACTGGAACTACAGGCAAGGGCCACCACACCCAGTTAATTTTTTAAATTATTTTTTAGAGATGGGGTCCTGCTCTGTTGCCCGGCTGGTCTTGAATTCCTGGCCTCAAGCAATCCTCTTGTTTTGGCCTCCCAAAGTGCTGGGATTACAGGCATGAGCCACCACACCTGGGCACCTTCTGTTTTTATATCTTTCTTCCACATTTCTGTTAAACTATAATCTTGCTTTGCCTCCCCTTTATTTTTTATTTCAACAATGAAAGACTTTGCTGATTCCTTCTATATTCACACTAAAAAAGTATTACTATTTATTACTATTTTTACTTCTTGCCCTTGAGAATAACATGCATACAAATGTGTGTGGTGAATATATCCACATACTATATAACATATATTATATGTACATCTTACATATGCATTTTATATATACAAAGGTTACTATGTAAAACATACATAATATATATACATATTGCACTTTTCTCTTTTTCTAAATCTCCTTAGAACTAGAAGTTTCCTATTAAGTATCTCGTACAAGACAAATCTCAAAGTCATTTTTTCACTGAAATGAAGGATGCCAGAGTGATTATATAGAACTTTCATTCCCATTCTCAAGTGCTTAGAGAGAGGCCTCTTCTGAACAGCAATGAGATTCAGAAATATTTGGGATTGAGATGAGGTCTCTGCACAGTCCTGTGGCTGGTACTACAGACTCTGCTGTGTACTGAGAGTCTTGTATCTTAGTTGTCTGCCCACCCAGTACCTGTCATTAGCACTGATGTGTGTTGGGGGCAGTGCCTGTTACAGCTGAAGTGCTCTTGTCCTTCTTTTTCTAATGAGGCAGCCTCAGCATGAAATAGTCTTACATCACCGTTTCTCAAGCTATGGGAACTCTAAGGTATTCATGAGATTTGACTTTGTTTCCACAGAGCTGACCACTGATACAGAGACCAAAATCCCACTCAAATCAAAGTAAGTATAGAGCTTATTTTATTTTTAATTACAGAGACAGGGTTTCGCTATTGCCCAGGCTGGAGAGCAGTGGTGCAGTCACAGTTCACTGTAGCCTCAAGATCCTGGGCTCGAGTGATCCTCCCTCTCCGGCTTCCCAAGTAGCTGGGACCACAGGCACGCACCACCATACCTGGCTAATGTTTTTTATTTTTGGTACAGACAGAGCCTCGCTGTGCTGGCCAGGCTGGTCTTGAACTCCTGGGCTCAAGTGATCCTCCTGCCTCAGCCTCCCAAAGCACTGGGATTACAGGCATGAGCCACCGTACCTGGCCTAAAGAGCTTATTTTAAAATCTAGAAAGCTCCTGGAATCCAAGAGAAGCAGGGCCCCTATGACAGGAACTGGGAACCAGAAAAGTTGCATCTAAGGTACTCTCCAGGGCGTCCTCTCTCCTTTTCTTTTTCTGTCCCTTTCTCTCTGGAACCACGAGGCCCTCATATGCATTTTCCCTTGTGCATTCTTTCTCTCTCTCCCTCTCTCCCCTCTCCCTATCTCATTCTCATTCTCTTTCTCTGTAGGCCTGTAGTTCAAAATGTCCACCAGATCACTTGAGGTCAGGAGTTCAAGACCAGCCTGGCCAACATGGTGAAACCCTGTTTCTATTAAAAATACAAAAATTGGCCAGGTGTGGTGGCGTGTGCCTGTAATCCCAGCTGCTTGGGAGGCTGAGGCAGGAGAATCGCTTGAACCCGGAAGGCGGAGGTTGCAGTGAGCCGAGAACTAGGAAGGCAGAAGTTGCACTGCATTCCAACCTGGGCAACAGAGCGAGAATCCGTCTTAAAAAAAAAAAAAAAAAAAGTCCACCAGTCACAACATTTCATCATCGCCTTTCTGAACATTTTCCTTCATTTCTTGGAGTTTCAATTCCAAATCTCTGATACCCAAAGGAATTCAGTCCTGAGACTCTCATTTCTGGGAAACCTTATAGGTAGGCCCCTTCCCTGGGTCTCATGAATGATCTGCTGGGATCTAGGGCTTCTTATTTACCTACAACAGGGAGAGGGGGTAAGATAAGATTCTCTGAAAAAAGATGGGTTGATTATTTAAAACATACGTATAGTCTCTAAGGATATTTGTTTGTTTATCACATCCTAGTAGTACTTTTCAGTAAAGCTCAACATTTACTATGGAGGGAGAAGTTGCTTCCTCACAATTCGGTCTGACTGAGATGGCGACCCATTACTCCCCCATGCAGGAGAGTCTGTGGGAGCTGCTATGTAACTGCGAGGATTACAGTATTTCGGGAGTTAAGGTACTGGAAAGAGGAATGGGTTGATGGTTGAGAATTCGATCCTTACACCTGAGTCCTGATAAGAACCTAACCCACTGTATGACCTTGGACAAAACAAATAACTTTCTGAGCTTTTTATTTTTTTTAATTTGTTCAATGAGGAGGCTGGTGTAAGTCAGTGGTTCCCAGTTTTTTAGAGTGTGAAAACTCTTCTTAATTTCAGAAAATCATGAATACCACATTATAAAGGTGTCAATTTTGTTGCCCACTGAAAGGAAAAATACCTATAAATATATACGGGTTCTAAGACTCTTCTAATAACTCTAGAGTCTCTGTGAAATGCTACAGGCTAGAACCATTGATCTAGCTGACACTGAGCCCCTTCTGGCGATGATAATCTGGGGCTCAAGTCAGGGGAATTCAAAAGGAAAGCTGACATTAAATATCAGATCCAAGAACAGCACTAGAAGTTTTCAAAAGAGATGAATTAAAGCAGATTCAAGGATCTAAGAATCGGAGCTGAGAGAGAACAGAAAGAAGAATGAACACTAACAACAGTGGAAGACTGTGGGGCAGCATGTCGGGAAGCAGGGTTATACAGTGCGGCTCATACCAGCGAGAGGGGCAGACGCCATCATAACTAAGAAAAGGAAGGCAGAGGGGAAGGTGATTTCGACTCTCAGGCAGGGTGGGCCACCTCTTCTTGACCTATATAAATATGTTATATAACAGCATATTAAATATAAATATAATGTAATTAATAATACATGTTATATTGGATAATATTCACATATAAAACCACCAAGACAGCATATGTGCATGGTTCATAGTAGGTTAGTTTTCCTTTCCCCTCCTTTGTTACCTTAACAGTTGAAGTGTTATTTAAAGCCTTCTGTTTAAAATTCTGTAAAGATTAGTGCCATCAGAGTTGACATCAAGAAGATAGTGGCAATGACTTAGGGTAATTTCCATGATGTACATACAAGAGTTATGCCCACAGAAAAATTTATTCTTATGGTTCATCCAAGCACTGTCACTTCTGTGTTTTTCAATGCTTTGTATGCTTCATATCAAAAAAAAGAGACTGATTCTCAAAGACATTCTGCCTTATAGCATTCTTCCTTAAGTTTTTAGGAGATCTTAACCTGACAGTTTACATTTCCCAGAGTTAAACACATATTCGAGAATTAGGTTGAGAATATAAGGTCAAATTTCAATCCAACGTTCATCAAGCTGCACTGAGAAGCAAGACAGGAACATAAGAAAAATTCCTGAAAAAATTTACAGGTTATTAATTGTCTATTTTGCTTTTCTATAAAGGAATACCTGAGACTTGGTAATTTATAAAGAAAAGTGGCAGGACTTGCCACACTCTTTTTTTTTTTTTTTTTTTGAGATGAAGACTCACTCTTATCCCCCAATCTGGAGTGCAATGGCATGATCTCTACTCACTGCAACCTCCACCTTGGGTTCAAGCGATTCTCCTGCCTCAGCCTCCTGAGTAGCTGGGATTACAGGTACGTATCACCACGCACAGCTAATTTTTTTGTATTTTAAGTAGAGACGGGGTTTCACCATGTTGGCCAGGCTGGTCTCGAACTCCTGACCTCAGGTGATCCACCCGTCTCAGCCTCCCAAAGTGCTGGGATTACAGGTGTGAGCCACCGCACCCAGCACCACACTCTTTTAAACAACCAGATCTTGTGTGAACTCAGAGTGAGAACTCACTCATTACCATGGGGAGAGCACCAAGCCATTTATGAAGGATCCACCCCCATGACTCAAACACCTCCCAGCAGGGCACACCTCCAGCATTGGGGATCACATTTCAACATGAGATTTGAGGGAACAAAACTTGGAAATCATACTGTTAATTTTCAAAATATTTTTGTTATAACTATTTTGATTTCTATATTCTAGCAAACATATCCTTTGGAGAATAGAAACTCCCTCCACTCCTCCAATAAATTCAACTGTAGAAGCTTTAAGAAAAACAGAAATCTTATAAGAAAGTGTTGGTCCAAATATAAATCAAACTAAAATGTTGTAGTGTTTCTAGCAATTTATAGCGTGTAAGAAAAAATAGACCCTTCAAGTGTGCTGACAGAGAAATTATATTTCATTTTTTCATGAATCAAATATTATTATTTGATTCTTCAGTGAATAATGTTCACATGTTCATAGACTGTGAATAATATTAACACGTTCTGTTTTCAGTTTTCAGAATCAATCTACAGACAAAGTATGTTTAAGGGACAGAATGTAAATGTTTTAAATCTAAACACTGAAAATGTATTATTATTTTTAATTTTCACTTAATAATTGTACATATTTATGGGGTACACTGTGATATTTCCATACAAGTATAAAATATGTAATAATAAAATCGGGATAATTAGCATATCTATCACCTCAAACATTAATCATTTATTTGTGTTGAGAACATTTAAAATCTACTCTTCTAGCTACTTGAAAATACATAGTAAGTTCCATGAGATGTGAGCAAGGCTGGTGCTGGGGCTTCTTCTCCTGAAGGGGCTGCAAGAGGGAAGACTTAGCCATGTCGTCCTTGATCAAAACGGTGATCAGCACCGCGAAAGCCCCAGGGGCCATTGGACCCTACAGTCAAGCTGTGTTAGTCGACAAGACCATTTACATTTCAGGACAGATAGGCATGGACCCTTCAAGTGGACAGCTTGTGTCAGGAGGGGTAGCAGAAGAAGCTAAACAAGCTCTTAAAAACATGGGTGAAATTCTGAAAGCTGCAGGCTGTGACTTCACTAATGTGGTGAAAACAACCATTCTTCTGGCTGACATAAATGACTTCAATACTATCAATGAAATCTACAAACAGTATTTCAAGAGTAATTTTCCTGCTAGAGCTGCTTACCAAGTTGCTGCTTTGCCCAAAGGTAGCCGAATTGAAATTGAAGCAGTTGCTGTCCAAGGACCGCCGACAACAGCATCACTGTAAGTGGGCCAGTGCTTTGTAGTCTGGAATTGTTAACATTTTAATTTTTACAAGTGATGTAACATCTTAATTAACCTTTTAATTTTCACAATTGATGACAGTGTGAGCTTGATGAAAATATCTGAAGTTATTATGGAAATACCATATAATAGGGAGAGTTGAACATGAATTGAAGATTAGAGAAGGAATCCAGTTACTGTTTTAAATTACACCTGTATTACTGAATATAGGAAAGATATCCATTACATAGTTACTCAATAAATAAAAGAGAAATAACAGGTAGGAAAGAAGAATAATTATTCCTGAGAAATAATCAAGAACATATCTAATTCAAACTAATGATGTGAACGATTTAGTTTTCAGGTCAGGTATGTGATTCTGCTTTTACTTGAGTAAAATTTAAGTATTTAAATTTGAGGTCAAGAAGAAGAAAGTGGACCAAAATTTAATATAGATAATATTTTTCTAATGGAAATAAAATAGACAAGGATATTTCAAAAAAAAAAAAAAGAAAATACATAGTAAATTGTTGTTGATTATAGTCCCACTATAGTGGTATAGAACACTAGAACTTAGTCCTTCTAGCTGTACTTTTGCATCCATTAACTAACCTCGAGCTATTCTCCACTCGTTCTACCCTTTCCAGCCTCCAGTAACCACTAATCTACTCTATACTTCCATGAGACGAACTTTTTTAGCTTCCGTATATGAGTGAGGACATGTATTTATCTTCCTGTTCCTGGCTTATTTCACGTAACATAATATCCTCCAGGCTCATCCATGGTTCCTCAAAAGACAGAACTTTGTTCTTTTTTTATACCTTTGTTCTTTTTTATATTCCACTGTGTCTATATACTGCATTTTCTTTTTCTTTTTTCTTTCTTTCTTTTTTTTTTTTTATGAGATGGAGTCTTGCTCTGTCGCCAGGCTGACATAAATGACTTCAATACTGTCAATGAAATCTACAAACAGTATTTCAAGAGTAATTTTCCTGCTAGAGCTGGTTACCAAGTTGCTGCTTTGCCCAAAGGTAGCTGAACTGAAATTGAAGCACTGCACTGGAGTGCAGTGGCGCGATCGCAGCTCACTGCAACCTCCGCCTCTCGGGTTCAAGTGATTCTCCTGCCTCAGCCTCCTGAGTAGCTGGGATTACAGGTGTCTGCCACCATGCCCAGCTAATTTTTGTATTTTTAGTAGAGACGGAATGTCACCATGTTGGTCAGGATGGTCTTGATCTCATGATCTGCCCGTCTTAGCCTCCCAAAGTGCTGGGATTACAGGCGTGAGCCATGCATTTTCTTTATTCACTCATTTGTTTCTGGGCGCTGAGGTTGATTCCATATCTTGGTTATTGTGAATAGTGCTGTAATAAACATGGGAGTGCCTATCTCTTTGACATACTGATTTCCTTTCCTTTGGATAAATACCCAATAGTGGGATTGCTGGATCATAGGGTAGTTTTATTTGTAGTTTTTTGAGGAATCTCTATACTGTTTTCCATAATGGCTGTACTAGAGTTTCACTGAAGGCAGAAGTCAGCTCTTTTGTGGAGGTTCCTCAAATGTCAGTATCTGTATGTCTTTATTGTGGGATGGTTCTATTTTTCTAGAAAAAGGATCTTCTAATATTTTGCCTAAAGGATTTAAACCAGGTATTGTCAGTGTTCTATAACAAGGGATAAAGATTTGGAATTGGAACTCCAAGAGTTGAAGAAAAGTGGTCAGAAGGGTGATGATGTAATGTTTGGCCTGGCGGACATTGGTTGGTGAACCATGTTCAAGCATGCAGTCAGCGTAGGGTCATCTAAAATTCAAGAAAACTCTCCAACAGCAAAAAGCTGGAGAAAATAAATAAATAAGTCAGAAAGTTAAAAAATATTAGGGAAATTTTCTAGAATGTAGAGCAATAGTCTTTTTATCCTACCAAAAGATGTACAATAAGAGAGGAAAAATACAAGAGCCTCAAGATCTGAATAATAGGAGGTCCAGAGAGAATGAACAGAGAAAATAGTGGGGGAAATGTATTAAAGAAACAATTAAGGAAAATTTCCCAAAATAAAGGAAATGTCTCTAGATGAATGAAAAATAAGTCCATCCACCTGGACGTGGTAGCTCATGCCTGTGATCCCAGTCTTTTGGAAGACCAAGGTGGGAGGGTCACCTGAGGTCAGGAGTTCGAGGCCAGCCTGGCCAACATGGCAAAACTCCATCTCCACAAAAAATTAAAAAATTAGCCTGGCATGATGGTGCACCTGTAGTCCCAGCTACTCGGGAGGCTGAGGCAGGAGAAACTCTTTTTTTTTTTTTTTTTGAGACAGAGTCTCATGCTGTGGCCCAGGCATGATCTTGGCTCACTGCAACCTCCACCTCCCAGGTTCCAGTGATTCTCCTGCCTCAGCCTCCCAAGTAGCTGGGATTACAGGCGTGCACCACTGCACCCAGCTAATTTTTTTTTTGTATTTTTAGTAGAGACGAGGTTTCACCATGCTAGCCAGGCTGGTCTCAAAACTCCTGACCTCAGGTGATCCGCCCATCTCAGCCAAAGTGCAGGGATTACAGGTATGAGCCACCATGCCCGGCCCAGGAGAAACTCTTGAACCCGGGAGACAGAGGTTGCAGTGAGCCAAGATCGCACCCCTGCACTCCAGCCTGGGCGACAGAGTGAGACTCCATCTCAAAAAAGTAATAATAATAAATAATGAAAAACATGTACATCAAAAAAGCCAAATCATTGTGAAATTTCAAAACCCCAGATACAAAGAAAAGATCCCGAAAGCTTCTAGAAAGAAAAAGAAAACCAATTTATTTACAAAGTGCTGGTTCTAAGAATGGCAACATTTGTAGTCCTAACTCTCACAGAGAGTTTTCCTTCTACTTGAGCCTATGTTGTTGTCAAATCCCTTTTGCTGAGGGCTCATCTTCTGAGTTTTACTTCTGAATTCTCCCCTTCACTACCCATTTTGCTCTCCTCATTAAAGATATTCTTACAAAGTTCTATCACATACTCAAAACAGTCTCTTCTCCCCTTACCCTATTTCCAGATCTGACGCTGTGACAGACTAAGCGTATACTGGCCTGGATCTTTCTCCCTTTGCTGGGAGAGCCATTTCTTTAGTCATCATCTGTACCGAGCAGTTGTCAACTATGAATTTCCTCAGCACTTGTCAGCTGGGCTCAGTTACTAGGGTTTCTGCAGAGACTGGCTCCACCTGCTTTTCTGCACCAAGATGTTGACAACTTCTCTGTTTTTCCTTCTTGGAGCCATCTCAACCCTCTTTGGTGGTAAGAAGGAGATGAAGACGTCAGTCAGGTAGCAGCTGCCACAACCCACATAATACCAATTCAACCTACAAACACAATCATGAGATTTCTCTTTGCTGGTAACCAGACAAGAGGCCCATGCACACTGTAATTCTGTCCAGTTGAGAGGTGAGGCAACAAAAATCTGCTTAGATTGACAGCAAACACATAAGTATTGTGCCTGAGAAGTTCTTAAGCAGGCAGGCTTGAATTTACATGTTTGTTTACTTTGTCTCTCTGTACTCTCTCCATCTTCTCTTGTATTTCCTTAATGATGGTCTTCTGGTTCCATCTAGGATCATGTTAGGCTCATACTTCAGGTTCTTTCCTTTATTATTTCATTAGTCCATGGAGTTTTAGCTGTTCTTGTGTCCTTATAGTCTGCAAATGCCAGAAATTGTTCAAATGGTCACCTCTTGCATCATTTAGTTTCTGCTGCATAACAAATTACCCCAAAACTTAGTGGCTTAAAATAACCACCTTTTTTTTTTTTTTTTTTTTTAAGCTTATGACTTTTCAGTTCATTAAGTTAGGCTGGGTTCATCCAAGCAGTTCTGGCCAGGTTGGCTGGGGTTTGGCTGGTTGAAGTCTCAACTGAGATGACTCATCTGTACTTTATGTGGTTTCTCACCTTCCAGCAGACAATCCTGGGCATGGTCACATGGTGACAGCTTTATTCAAAGAGTGTGCTCTTTGAACACAATATAGGAAGCTGCAAGGCCTCTTGAAGCCTAGACTTGGAACTCATTCAATGCCAGTTCCGTGGTATTCTATTGACCAAAGCATGTGGCAAGGCCATCCCAGATTCAAAGGGACTCTACCTCTTTTTTTTTTTTTTTGAGAAGAAGTCTTGCTCTGTGGCCCAGGCTGGAGTGCAGTGGCAGAACTTGGCTCACGGCAACCTCCACCTCCCAGGTTCCAGCAATTCTCCTGCCTCAGCCTCCTGAGTAGCTGGGGCTACGGGTGCATGCTACCATGCCCAACTAATTTTCGTAGTTTTTAGTAGAGACAGAGTTTCTCCATGTTGGTCAGGTTGGTCTCGAACTCCTGACCTCAGGTGATCCACCCACCTGGACCTCCCAAAGTGCTGGGATTACAGGTGTGAGCCATAGCACCTGGCCCACTCTACCTCTTAATGGGAGAAACTGCAGAATATTATGGCCAGTTTTACAATGTACTGTATTTCAGTAGAGAAAAACTAGGAGTAGGGAAGGAAAAAGATGGACGACTTTTACTTTTCACTTACAGAATTACGTTTTGTTTAAATTTTTAAAATTATGGATACATATACACTACTTCTACAATAATAACAATGATAATACATTAAAATATGACTCCAAATATTTCTTGTATTATCTTAGTTACACATGAGGATAATAATCTAATCCACTGATACTTTGAAGGACCCATGATTTTGAGTCAAAACACCTGATTCAGACTTTGTCTTTGAACTGCCTCTATCAGGCTAAATAATGATAAATTTAACATGAAATCCTCCAGCATGGAGGTTGACACATAGTAAATGCTTAATAAATGTTGGGTAAATCTGAATCTGAATGAGAAGATAGGGGCAAAAAAAGATGTATGAATAATATAAAAATAGCTTTAAAATCTGTTCTATTATTTTCATTTTTGTTTTCTGAGACAAGGTCTCACTCTGTCACCCAGGCTGGACTACAGTGGTGCTATCACAGCTCACTGCAACTCCTGGGCTCAAGGGATCCTCCCACCTCAGCCTCCCTAGTAGCTGGGACCACAGGCACACACCACCACGCCCAGTTAGTTGTCTTTATTTTTATTTTTAGTAGAGACGAGGTCTTCCTCTGATGCCCAGGCTGGTCTTGAACTCCTGAACTTGAGTGATCATCCTGCATCAGCCTCCCAAAGTGCTGGGATTACAGGCGTGAACCACTGTGCCCAGCCAAAATCTGTTCTATTAATTTAGTGTTTATAAAAACAACTTGCCAGCTTTTATTAAGGCAACTTGAACTTTAATGGACAAGAAAAGAGATTTGATTTAACTTCATATACTTGGAGTTTGGACTGTTGGAGAAAATATGAACAACAGCATGTCCATTGCTGTAATACAAGTTGGGAATTATAACCTAGGACAGCATCAAGAGTGTTCTTAAATTCTAGTCCTGCAAGTCACCCATCTGATTAAGAAACCATATATCTTATGATACATGCCAGGGATTCTCCTTAGCTATATCAAGTGGGGCCTTGGGGAGACATCCAGAGGAGCTATTTTTCAAAAAACCTTCTTTCTGGCTGGGCGCGGTGGCTCATGCCTATAATCCCAGCACTTTGGGAGGCCCAGGCGGGCAGGTCACCTGAGCACAGGAGTTCAAGAGCAGCCTAGCCAGCATGGTGAAACCCCGTCTGTACTAAAAATGCAAAAATTAGCCAGCCATGGTGGCACCTGCCAATAATCCCAGCCATTTGGGAGGCTGAGGCAGGAGAATCAATTGAACCCAGGAGGAGGAGGTGGCAGTGAGCCAAGATCACACTATTGTACTCCAGCCTGGGCAAAAGAGCTCTGTCTCAAAACCAAAACAAACAACAAAACTTCCTTTCTTTAGCAGCTGCGGCACACATTAGCAAGTGGCAGAAAAGTGACCTCTTAATTTTGTTCAATAGACCCCATATTCAGTTTGGTCTAGTGCTTTTACCAGTCCTTACTATTTCTGCAAATTAAAAATGGATAAATAGAAGCAATAAAAATATGCTAGAGAAATTCTTGCAAATCCTTTTGTGGCTGATTTTCAATCCAGAATATATTTTCCTAAATTTTCACAAAGTATTTACCATAATAGGCCTGCTATTTATTTAATGACCGTTCGATGCCATCCTGACCTTTCCCAGGAAGGTCAAAGAGTAGCCTGTTATTTGAATGCCTAATTTAACTGGACAAAGGAAATTGCTTTCATAATTTCTACTTTGCCCTTCCTGATTGAACCAAATGTCAACTTTCCACGCAATGTTCCCCGACAAACATTCGTATTCCTAATACAACCAGATTAGATCAATCTGCATCTGTCTCCATTGTACCCTGGGATTGCATAAACTCTGGATACATATTTATTTTGTGGATTCATTTCCATGTTAATTAGAACGCAGTTTCCTGGAATTTCTTTTCTGAGTATGATAATCTTCTTACAGTCAGCATGATGGAAACAGCTGTGCGCTGTTTACTTTAAGGAGAATGGTGTTCCTTGCTCAGATTATCATTGGATATGCACTTTCTAGATCAAATATTGTATCTCCATTCTTTCCTATAGAATTATTAGAACATGTTAATTTATGGAGGACTTTCAAACTCAATTTTATTATGCAACTGTGTTTTGGGGAGAGCATACTACACAACAAAAAGTATTGAAAAGCCATAATATTTAATTAAATCCTTTTTCTTCTACTGCAATCTCTGCTTTCTAAGTAGATTTTTTAAGTCAACTTTATTTATTTATTTATTTATTTTTGAGACAGTGTCTCGCTCTGTCACTCAGGCTGGAGTGCAGTGGCGCGATCTCGGCTCACTGCAACCTCCGCTTCCTGGGTTCCAGCGATTCTCCTGCCTCAGCCTCCCAAGTAGCTGGGATTATAGGCGCGTGCCACCACGCCCTGCTATTTTTTGTATTTTTAGTAGAGACGGGGTTTCAGCATGTTGGCCAGGCTGGAAATCAACTATTTTTTAATTACAAAAGTTATATATGTAAAGTGCAGAAAATCTGGAAGTTAGACAATCCCACTGTTGTTAACATTTTGATGCCTTTCTTTCAAACACATAATAGATTTTTGTAAGATATTTTTATGCTGAGCAGATAAATACAGTATCAGTCCGAACACTTTTTCACCAGCCATCCATCTAATCTCACTAAGGAGTTATTAGATGATAAAATAAAGCAGATTATTCAATCCAACATCAAACATGTTCTGAAGATTTACTATATGCTGTACACTTTCTCCTCTCTGGGTTGGGTGAGAAGAGCACAAAAATAAATAAGACACATCTTGCTTTGTCAACATGATTAGCATCCAAGATAGAGTTGCTTTAGCCTCCACAGGTATATTGCCATTCCAAACAAAGTCAGGCTTAATAAATAAAACTAGAGTAAATATTAGGTAGACAACTCAGTCTCTACCACGTCACCTGAGTTTAGCCATGCATGTCTCTTTAGAGCAATCATTATATATAACAGACATTTCAGCTTCGCTCCCTGGAAACTCTTCTCTTCCCTCTCTAGGGTCAGACACATGCTTTCATCAGCACAGTTAAGGATCAGACGAGAGATGAATCAGGCTTTGTCAATTCCCATTCCCATTGTTGCTTACTATCTTATCAACAAAACCAAAACAAGCTTAAGGAAAAATGTTTCATCCGTGAACTTTAATTTCCTCTACTCCTTTTTGTCATAAAAATAAAATAAATTATTTTTCATATTGTACCTTCCTGTGTACACTTAATCTTTGTTTTTTGCACAAAATTGCAGTATGATTTACTTTACTTTTGGGGTCCAGTCCCAGGCTGAGGTCCTGACCCTAGTGACATACTATAAATTCTTTAAAGCAGAGACACTCAGCTACTGGCTGTTGTCAGATGCTCTGAGGACCTGAGCAGTTGTGGGAAGTTGTTTCTCCAGTTGATGAACACACTGTAATTCTTATTTGGGACAGAAAAACGTTGTAGGAAGATGTTATGATTATATAACAAATAGAAGCCTGGGCAACACAGGGAGACCACTTCTCTACAAAACACTTTTTAAAACTTAGCTGGGCACAGTGGCTCATGCCTGTAGTCCCAGCTACTCAGGAGGTTGAGGTGGGAGGATTACTTGAGCCTGGGAGGTTGAGGCTGCAGTGATCATGTCACTGTGTCACTGCACTCCAGTCTGAATGACAGAGCAAGAAGACCCTGTCCCCCAAAACAAAACAAAACAAACAAACAAAAAAAACCAAAACAACCTCAAATAGACCTAGAATGTATTTAAAAGAAAAAGTAGCACCGATTGGAACTCTGATGGTCAGAAACAAAAACAAAAACAAAAACAAACCCTCATCCGCCTAGGTATACACCCAAAAGAATGAAAACAGAGATTTTAATAGATACTTGAACATCAGTGTTCATAGCAGCATTACTCACCATAGGCAAAAGGTGGGAAACAACTTGACTGCTCACTGACAGATGAATGGATAAACAAAATGTCATGTAAATATTCATCCTTAAGCCGGGCGCGGTGGCTCAAGCCTGTAATCCCAGCACTTTGGGAGGCCGAGACGGGCGGATCACGAGGTCAGGAGATCGAGACTCATCCTGGCGAACACGGTGAAACCCCGTCTCTACTAAAAAATACAAAAAACTAGCCGGGCGCGGTGGCGGGCGCCTGTAGTCCCAACTACTCGGGAGGCTGAGGCAGGAGAATGGCGTAAACCCGGGAGGCGGAGCTTGCAGTGAGCTGAGATCCGGCCACTGCACTCCAGCCTGGGCAGCAGAACGAG